TCATTGGTTATAATCTTAGACTTGTAATGCAGTCTGTATGTAACAAAATTCTGTTTTCTCACTAATAATTTTGGAGATTATAAATCATCAGGCAGGCACTGTGATATGCTCAATAAACAGTGACAACACACTAAATTCAAGCAATATTAGAAGTAGAAAATAGCAATAAGTACTCAGAATGCAGCATTTATAGCAGTAGGATCTGTTTGTTTTAATCTTGTCTGGCAACTGACAACTGGCTGATCTGACAGTGAAGCCAGGCCAGGTCTTTAATCCAGTCAGTCAATAAGAATCACATATCTTCAGAACACAAAGGAACTAATTTGAAATTACAAGCGGCAATAAATGCTGATGTCACATAGACTGAAGACAAGCTGATCTTTTTATCTAGGAGGCTTGGAAGGAGAAGACCAGTAGCATGTATTTGTTTAGTTGGAACAGAAGAAAAGTCACTGTAGGAATACAGGCATGATGGGATCTTGCAGTACTTTGATGGGATGAAGGTTGCAGCTGCAAGAGTACAGAGAGGGATGTTGAATTAAGACGTGAGATAATGAGAGTCTAGGCCGAATACCACCTCTACAAATGGGCAGGGACTGCTGCATGATAGAAATTACCTTTAAAAGGTATCTACAAGGCTTAATCAGATGTTTTGTTTTGTTTTTACAGGAAAGAAGACTCTATCTACTGGTGAGGTCCACATCTGGGTGAAGGAGTGCCATGACCTTCCTCTTCTGAGAGGCAACAGGCTCAACTCTTTTATTAAGTGGTAAGAACTGGTTGAAGTCATCAAACATGGTGGCCTAACAGTGCTACTGTTGTGCTTTCTAATCTTATCTTCATTTTTCTACGTTCCAATTAAAAAACACATAATTATTTTCTGATTCTCCTCCTTTATTGTAATGCAAATTGTCCTGCAGGGGTTACAACTTCAAGATGCTAAGTACATACCACCAAGTAAAACATACGGGGAGAACTTCCTGCGTAATCATTACTCTTTCATTTTTGTCTGCTCAGTTACTTGGTGGAAGGGCTAGTCAAAATTGTGCCTGCGTTTATTTGCATTTAAACAAAGCGTGTTTGTGAAAGAGTATGGTTTGGCTTAGCAAATCGTGGGAGGAGACAGAAGTGAGAAGCATAGCTGTATTTCTTCCTCCTTCCTTTCCACATAGAGACTAAAAATGTAAAGAGACAAGAATAACAAGATGGTTGGGGAAACCCCTGGCAGCAACAAAGAGGTTTCAGTATCATTAGTGCTAATGCAGCAACTAAACTCACTGGTGCCTCTTCCCCACCTGCCCTCCCCTTCCCTTCCGTCCTCTGAAGCACATGGATATGTGCTGCCAGTATTTCTTGGGAGGGACTGAGAATATGACCTTTGTCTTCATCTCCATGATGCTAAAGCATCTTACCTTCAGTCACATTCTAACATGCAAAGGACAGTGTTAATTGGTAGTTTTTGTCTGTTCAGGACGTTTAGCGCAGGCTATGCTGCGCAAGTGCAAACTGACAATGGTTTTTCTTTCTGAAGTACCGTTCTTCCAGATACTAGCAGAAAAAGTCGCCAGAAAACAAGAACAGTGGCAAAAACTACAAACCCGGTATTCAACCACACCATGGTCTATGATGGCTTTAGACCAGAAGATTTGAAAGAAGCCTGCATAGAACTCACAGTCTGGGACCACAACAAACTAGCCAACCACTTTCTGGGAGGTCTCAGGATAGGCCTTGGAACAGGTACTGGACAATTAATGCATTAATCATTAAATTACAAAATACAGTTTTTCCTTTTTTTCCTCTTCCGTTCCATTTGTTCTCTTTTTGCAAAGATCACTGAACAGCCTTTCAGTTATTTACTTACTGAAGTTTCACACAGTAACTTACCTATTCTTCAGCACAGATCCTGAAATGTAAATAATAGTAGTGTTATGAAGGTTAGGAAAACTGACAAATAAGAATAAATATTAGAAATAAACCTTTGTCTGGCCACACACTGTATCTGGTACTGTTTAAAGTACAAGAATATGCTATTCCTGAACCCAAACTCTTGATAATGTCTTACAAACTTAAGCATGCAAAAACTAGGTATGTGGTGTAAAGACAGTATTGGGTGGAGATAATAGGATAGATCAGGAATGCTTGATTAAAATTTGAAGACATTGGATAGGAAAACTTACATGCAGACAAGTTTTTAGCATAAGGACAATCTAAGATGTGCAGATAGAAGAACTGTATGTTTTCCCTATCATTATATTTGTCCTTTTTATTGTCCTCTGTGGTCTGAGGGGAGGATATGTTTGGAGTCTTTTCAAGCAAATGCAAGAAAAAATTACTTTTCCCAAATTAGCTTCTTGTATGGTTCACCAGAACAACCTAAAATAAAAATTAGGATAGTAAATCTCAATTTGAATTTTAGAGTACCCAAGGCTGTATTTCAGTACAAAATCAGTGTCCTGTTTTATTCTTAAACCCTCTCAGATCTTAGTCGCCCATACAACCCTTAGGATTGTGACAAAAAGACTAAGGATAGCAAGGAAAAAACAGCCTGCAGAAAGATGATGAAGTTTCCGTGTGAAACTGTCGTTAATTGTATTTCACAGAATTGTTCAAGTGTTAAAATGTAGAACTGGATCTTCAAAGTACTAGGTCAGCTACCGGAGGAGGTGAAACTGTTTTAGAAGACAGGCAAATTTGATTGTCTGCTCTCAGCTCTGCAGCGTATTAAGTAATGGTTCTCTTAAAACTGACATTTTTCTAGGCAAAAGCTATGGAACTACAGTAGACTGGATGGATTCTACTTCAGATGAAACTGCCCTTTGGGAGAAGATGATGAACTCGCCAAACACATGGATAGAAGATACACTACCTCTCAGGATGCTAATGGTTGCAAAATTGACAAAATAAGGTGGCTTTGTAATTGCTAGTGTCAAAAAGAAACCTTGGGAATGAAATTAAAGGTGTGGGGGTGAAACCTGGAAGAGGAGCGCGGTAGCTCTTTTGACAGTCTCTGCTCCGTTGCTGTTCTGGTTTTGTGCTGTCAAATGTCACTTTGTATTTCAAATTAAACTTCTGCCTGCAGATTATTATGTAAATTTAAGGGATCCTTTCATTTCTTCTTCACTGAAAATGACTTCCAGAGAGAAGGCACTTGCAGAATTCAGTGGTAGAAGCAGCTGTGATACCTGGATGCTTGTGTTGCCTAACTGAAGCATTGCTGATCCCTTAAATAATCTAAATTACCAGCAAAAAAAATAAGAGCAAGTCAACTCTTTCTGTACACTTCTAGGATTGTTCTTGAAGCGTTAGTAATTAGACAGCAACAGGTTGTGTTTTGTTCATGCTCATTAGTATGTGTTTGTATCCTCATTGTGCCATGTCAGATCTCTCCAGTGAGGAATGTAAGCATGAATAATTTTTTTTTTTAAAGTTCCTTTATTTGTAGCTGTACATTTCTAGGATATGCAAGTCGCTTCTGTAATGAAAGAAGCATTACATGAAGTGGTACTGTCGATGTCCTGTTCTGCAAGGTGCAGAGGACAGTTAATTCCAATGTACTACCAAAAGTCAGGGTTATAAAAAGTTTTGCTTCTATCCATGTTAATTGTCTTGCCAGTATACAAGCCTTACTCTTAAATGCTGAAGGCATAGAGGTCAAACTTCTTTTTATTCAGTGCTACTCTAAAGGATCTAAACCTGCCGATTTTAGTGATGACAAATATGTTGGGTATTTATTCTGTAAAGTGTACTCGCCTGTACCCGTATCTCTTCGCTTGGGTTTTTGCAAGAAGTAATTTACCTGTGCTTCAGCGCCACCGTTAGGGGAACGCTGCTGTGACAGTGGCCTTGGCTTAGGTTGCTTTGCAGCTTAGGAAGTAGGACTGGAATTGGTAACTTGTAGCAGTGCATGCTACTAAAGAAAGATAAATGCATGAAATGTATTACTTTTTTTTTTTTTAATAAAAGCAGCCTAATAAAGCTAAATAGGAATTCAATGTTTATTAAAACTCCGTGTTTTATGTTAGCAATTCAGCATGCAATATAACAAAATGCAGACAGAAAACATTTCAGAAAATAAATGCACATTTATTTGCTCCAATTGTGTAGGTCTAAAAGCTGGTGAAATCTTGCACCTCAGTTAAAACGGAGAGGAGAGAAGGGGGGTCTTCACAGCTCCAACTCAGTTGCTTTATTTAATCAGACATTTAAATGCTACTTGGTATTTATTACACACTATGAACGGAAAAAAGGAAAGGTGCTATTGAACCTGCCGGGGAACCCACTTTCTCTCTCATCAACCAGGCTGTCTGTGGAGTTTACAAATGCCAAAAGTTGTCAGTCTTGATACCTTATCGCTTCAGGTCTTTTGGACGAGATTGGTAGCTGCTACAGATTCCACTTTGCCAGATACATACAAACCATTATTCTTGCATGACAAGGGAACAATGTGTGTATGACACTTCAGAACAACGTATTTGTACTTAAATGGTACGGCAGCTGCTCTGCCTCTGTATTCTCAAATAGCCATTCCTGAAAGGGTGGTGATTCTGGAAAAGCAGAGAGGCACCTAGTTTAGTTGTGTTCACTGCCTGTATGGATTCATTTTCACCTTGAAGTAGGTTGCTGTGAACATGACCTACAATTTCACAGGATTCAAGTCTTTGTCATTGTGTTTCCTGTGAAGCTTCAAGGCATTGCTATGTCAAAACAGCTTTGGGACTCCAGCTGTAGGAATGGGGTCTTGAGGTGCTAGATCTGCAGGCAAGTGTCATGGAATCTGCTGTGTTCTATACTGTACAAAATTTTGATACTTAAACATGACTGCCATAAAAATAAAATGTTTGGTGTACGACAGTGTCAATCTCCTTGTCTTTTGGTCAAGTAGAATATCTTCTGGCTGGATGGCTGAGCCCAGAGAGTTGGTGAATGGAGTTAAATCCAGTTGGCAGCTGGTCACAAGCAGTGCTCCCCAGGGCTCTGTTTTGGGGCCAGTTCTGTTTAGTATCTCTATCAACGATCTGGATGAGGGGATTGAGTGCGCCCTCAGTAAGTTTGCAGACAACACCAAACTGGGTGGGAGTGTCGATCTGCTGGAGGGTAGGATGGCCCTGCAGAGGGACCTGGACAGGCTGGATCGATGGGCCAAGGCCAACTGTATGAGGTTCAACAAGGCCAAGTGCCGGGTCCTGCACTTGGGTCACAACAACCCCATGCAGCGCTACAGGCTTGGGGAAGAGTGGCTGGGAAGCTGCCTGGCCAAAAAGGACCTGGGGGTGTTGGTCGACAGCCGGCTGAACATGAGCCAGCAGTGTGCCCAGGTGGCCAAGAAGGCCAACAGCATCCTGGCTTGTATCAGGAATGGTGTGGCCAGCAGGAGCAGGGAGGTGATTGTGCCCCTGTACTCGGCGCTGGTGAGGCCGCACCTGGAATACTGTGTCCAGTTTTGGGCCCCTCACTACAAGAAAGACATTGAGGTGCTGGAGCGTGTCCAGAGAAGGGCAACAAGGCTGGTGAAGGGTCTGGAGCACAGGCCTTATGAGGAGCGGCTGAGGGAGCTGGGGTTGTTTAGCCTGGAGAAGAGGAGGCTGAGGGGAGACCTTATCGCTCTCTAGAATCCCCTGAAAGGAGGGTGTAGTGAGGTGGGTGTTGGGCTCTTCTCATCCTATCGCTTGTTACTTGGGAGAGGAAATGGCCTCAGGTAGCATTAGGGGAGGTTTAGGTTGGAAATAATTAGGAGAAATTTCTCCACGGAAAGAGGGGTCAAGCAATGGAAGCGGCTGGATTGAGTGGTCAAGCATTGGAAGAGGCTGCCCAGAGAGGTGGTGGAGTCACTGTCCCTGGAAGTGTTCAAAAAAATGGGTAGGTGTGGCACTTTGGGAAATGGTGTTGGGTTGATGGTTGGACTGATGATCTTAGAGGTCCTTTCCAAATTTAATTCTATTCTATTTTCTCTCACTATTCTTGAACCATCCTAGAGACAGACACAGCATTTTGTCATTGTCTCAAAAGACACTGCTTACCACTACACTAAATAGATCAAAAAAACAGTTTAAATTTCAAAAAGCTACCTGAACATGAACATAAGACTGACTTGTGCACTGCACTTGTTTTTAATTAGCATAATTAACTGATGACACAGCAGTACCATGTACTCATCTAGATTAATCAAGAAGCTGAGCCAAGTAACAAAAATGGGCCCTTTAGTATAAAAATTCAGTGCTCCTCCCCAGTTTTTAATACCTTTTTTTTTCAGCGTGTGCAGAAAATGGAGACTACTACAGGTAAACCTATAAGGATAGCTGTCACCGCACACTTTTAAAAGTGAGTGCTTCCAAATCTACAGGAGGTCAGCAGAGGCAGTCGCAGCAGGGTCCCTGAAAAGTACGGTAGCGCTGAACAACCTAGAGGTTTTCAAGTTATTGTTATCGTTGTCTGCCGTGGAGTCTGCATCAAGATCTTTAAGTTAAAGATTTTCAGCAGAGCTTTAGCAGCTGTGCTCATCATCTTTGTTTTACTGTTGCCAGGTGCAAGAAAAGTCAAAGCTGTCCTGGTGAGAGAACTTCAGCAGAAGGGAAGATTACAAACCACACTGCTTTATCAGTGGAAAAAGTACTCTGATTACCCTATGCGTGCAGTAGGATTTAATTATAGAGTAGAAACATTACAGTGTCACCTCCTGCTAAAGGATATTAGGTTGATTTATTAAAAGGTGCTTGAAGGTAATGGCTGCATCTAATCATGTAAACCAGCAGGAATTCTGTATTGAAAATATCTAACTGAAGTCATGCAAAATTTACTTTTATAAGAGATTACTGGTGTATTTTGACATTCCTCTGTGGTTCACAGAATAAATACAGCTTTCCACCAAATTCAGTCATTCCTAACTACAGTCCCAGATCGATAATACACTGACAGAGACCTGCAAGTTTATGAAGTTGATTAGGACAAAAAGTTTCAAGAAGCAAGTTTCTTTGCTCAACAGTCAAAAGGAGAGGCTTTAGTCATCCATAACCAAAACTTTAAAGCTGTACAGTCAGTTACTCACTAAAGGGCAGTTTGGTAAATTAATAGCTATGCTTTGATCCTTAATTCCAGTTCACCTTTATGACAAAGCAGCCGTACCCCTAACATGTCTTTGCATGTATCTGTCCTTGCCCAGAGAAATGAATGGGAGAAACACAACACTTTTCCCCCCCTTTTTTTTTTTCTTTTCTTTCTTTCCTCCCCGCCCCTTCACTTTACAAGCTCATCTTTGCTTTAGCCCGGAATGTTGGGGGTTTTTTTTGTACACATACCCATATATGCATACATATGAGCCTGTATGTGTTCTAAATTACACCATCTTTACTTCCTATAAACCAGGCTTCAAAGTCCCAGCTCTCCTTTCATGCTCTGCGTTCAGAAACCTCCCGTTTCTGCAAGTACGCCTGCAAACCTTAGTTGGTGCGGCAACCCACATCACTTTGATTTTACCTATTTTTGGAAAATCTGGTACTGCGCCCTCCTTGTCTTGTTCGCTTCATAGCCTTTACCCACATCACTCCTCTTTGCTTCATATCCTTTTCCGGTGGAGTCGGCAAAACCTGCACCTGACTTTTTCCTCCCAGCTGTATTTTTTTTTCCCCCTTCCCTATCCTATCTGCCAGTTTTTTCATTAACTGCTGAATAAAGTTGCAAGTTGTTCAGGGCAAGGGCTGCGTCTTTACTTACCATGGACCTTCAGTGTGTTCTGAGGTCAGAGCCTGCTATTCCGCTCGCCTCTGGCACACGCAGGGAACAAGCCAAGAGAGAGAGGAGTTCTTCAGACTTGTGGAAATCCTCTTCCCTTTACCAAATCT